ACACTGTGACCTTCGCATCTCTGTGACCTTCGCGTATCTCTGTGACCTTCGCATCTCTGGACTTTGCCATGCAGTCGGTACCTCTGCATCTCTGTGACCTCTGCATCTCTGGGACATTTGCATCTCTGTGATCTTCGCGCCTCTCTGTGACCTTCTTGTCTCTGTGACCTTCGCGTTACTCTGTGACCTTGCGCACTCTGGGGACCTTTGCCATCTCTAATTGACCTTCGCATTTTCTCTGGACCTCGCATCTCTTGGAACCTCGCATCTCTGTGACCTTCGCATCTCTGTGACCTTCGCATCTCTGTGACCTTCGCATCTCTGTGACCTTTGCAGCACTCGGTGACCTCTGCATCTCTGTGACCTTCGCATCTCTGTGACCTTCGTGTCTCTCTGTGACCTTCGCATCTCTGTGACCTTCGCGTCACTCTGCGACCTTCGTGTCACTTCTGCACTTCCATCTCTGACCTTCGGGGTCACTCTGCGACGGGGTCTCTCGCGACCTTCGGGTTCTCCGACCATAACGCAGCGCTCTGTGACCTTTGCCACCTCAGGTCTCATACCTTCAAAGCCATCCTCACAGGTGCAGCCGATCCCAGTCCGAGCAGACGCCGTGGCGCGCACATCTGGAAGGCACTCCGCCGAGTAAGATGTCTCTGAGCCCACGATGGGCGTCGTCTTCGGTTTGCCCTTCGGAGGCGGATGAAGCGAAACTGCGTTGACTGCAGCCAAAAGAAAGCGTTGTTGCGCACTCAATTGTTTTTCTTGCTATTTTATTATTTATTTGATTTAGTATGATATTGCGCCATCTTTACATAAACACATGGTTCGTACAGGAGGACTGAAATTTTTTTTCCAAGGACTTATTCACAAGGACATTTTATCGGAAATTCCAAGACATTTATCAGACATTTTATCGGATTCATTACACAGACCAAATATACTGTTATTTAATAACCCCATTCTTAATACTGCGGCATGTCACCTCTAACTTACCTGGACTCACATTAATAAACCCTTCCTAAACACTGCACTTCTACACATACCATATGAGTTTTACTGAATGGATTTTACTGACTATACTGTAAATTTATGATCACATTTACACTGTCTATCGTGAGTCTAAAGCTTTTTAGCTCTTTAACGCAATTTTTTATTGGTTTTGCACGATATGAGGGACTTATAACCATTTCTGTTATTACAGGCAAGGATTCTTGCTAAAATTCAAGGACATATCATGAAAGTCAAGCACTTTTCAGCACAAGATCAGGCATGTTTAAATTCAAGTACTTGTCAAGGACTCCCTCAAAATTCGAAGGACTTGTTCAAGGACTGGTGCACGAACCATTGTAAAATGATGAAATGCGCAGCATATCATAGCGAACATGATCTCCTGAACAATAAATGAAGATGAATAATATATGTTGTATCCATGTGACCAGTAAAAGGCCTGTCCCAATAGGGGTACTACTATCCCCAGTCATGATGCATTCGTTCCCAGTACAGGTCCATACCAGTACAGGGTCCTGCCAGTACAGAATACTGCTCACAGTACAGGATCGCTACCCGCATCAAGAGCCAAACACGGGTATCTTACACGATCTTACACAGTCCGAGGTGCCAAACATATTTGAAGGCAATCTGTAGTTTCTGGGCCGATCAAATTAGTGTTTTGAGATGGGCACGTAAGTGACCCGAGTTTTCTGGAGACCGACATTCCCCCGTCGAGAAAAATTTTTAGATTCTGAGATTGCACAATTTCCTGGCATTACTGAGGCGATGACAATGACATAAATGACAAAAAAGCATTGACAATGATTAAAAAAAAAATAAATAATCACTGTCCGTCGAACATTCGAGTTTGAACAAACTGGGTAGGTAGTAGGTTGGCATCCGCTGTTACCACGAATACCCACCCAGTGTCCGATCCAGCATACAAATCACATAGAAAATATCTCGTCGGTCGCCGGAGCGCACGTCCACTTCACCCGGAGATGCGCTGTTCGAGGCAGCGGCCCAGTGGTGGACGCCGTGTCCCGCGCCATCTCGGCCGAGTGGGATTCTCCCCTCGTAGCGGCTTCAATTCATCGACCCTACGTCCTTAGCGGCGCCACCATCTGCTCGCCCCCTTGGAATCACGAAGCTTGACCCTGGCCCTGAGGACTAAGGAAAGGCCCCGTCCCAGGCGACACCCCAGTTCCGGGTCGGCAGGGGTACCAATACCATAACCATGTATCGGAGGTACCCGACTGAACAACACCACCGGCCTCGCTCAATACGGCCTTCTTCTGTCGCAAGGCGACTGGGCCGAAGCTGCTGTGGGCGTACTTCGTGCGCCCGCTTTCAGTGGCTGTCGCGCCAGCCATCACATACTCCGACGGGGATGCCTCGGTCAGTCAGTTTCACGCCGCCGCTTCCATCCAGCAGAGCAGCCGCCGCATACAACCTCTCGGCGAACAGTAAGCAGATTTGGACTGCACCCCGTGTTTCATGAACGGTCCCATCCGCAGTATAGCCATGACAAAGGGCAGGATGATCATCCCCAGTATGTCGCTGCTGCGCTTGTACCACTTTCCAGCATATCCTGCACCCGTGCCTATTAAAACGTTCTACTGGTCCATCGGATTGGGTGGTGATTAAAGGCGTTGGTGCGCGTCTGATCAATGCCCAATGGCCTTGCACACGGTCCGGCCGAGAGCTGCGACTTCAAGAGTTGGTCCCATATCCGAGCTGCCAATCGTCGCCGGCACTCTCGACCGTGGAACAGCCTCAGGGACCAAACAGTCAGCCGTTCGCAGCAGCCGTCATGATGGTCGCGCAATGCGCGAACGCCTCTGTCCACTTGCTAAAGTAGTCACTGGCGACCAACGATATATCTGATTCGCGTGCCAGACGTCCTCCATACGGTGAGTAGGCAGCAGGGAGACTGCTAAAATCGACAGATACTATCGCTGGCCACCGCCGGCGTCCCCGGGGCTCCCACTATTTGGCCTGCTGCCAATGCAAGCAAGGAGTCGCGCGGCCCCTCTTCTATGCCTTCCTCCCTTTCGGTGGCGCGCGGATGCATCACCACTTGCCGAGCACCATCGCGCGAGGGGGTTGTGGATTAACCCGGCAGGATGTGGGTGAGGGGGAGGGGGTCGTGGATTAACCCGGCAGGACGTGGGTGAGGGGGAGGGGGTCGTGGATTAACCCGGCAGGATGTGGGTGAGGGGGAGGGGGTCGTGGATTAACCCGGCAGGACGTGGGTGAGGGGGAGGGGGTGGGATTTGGCGATGCACATCCCGGGAGCATCTTCACAACAATACGGTACTCAGTGCTTTGATGCTCCAACATATATCAACAGATAGGTAGTCATATCGTTAGGGGCGCAATCAAGAAATATCTCATTTTCTAACGAATGTTTTTCGTATCGCGCGCATGCGACGACGGTGAAACGAAATCATCCAGCTTGGCTTTAATAACCAATCCTATTCGGGCAACACGACACCATGTTTACTATGGCTACATGTAGGTGGCGACACAGACCTGGTCATCCTGGATAGCTTCCGGCACAGGCTCAAAATCTTCGAGGTCCGGCTCAAAGGTTAGCTGCTCGTAGTCCTCATCTGGTAACATCTCACCATCAGGAAACCATAGCTCCTGCTCACCTGTGTCTGGGGCTTCTAGAACGAGAACACACAGACCTCACGATGTCAGGTTTAAATCTCGGTGGAAAGATTAAATCTTCGATAGAAGAGGCGTACAAACTACAAACGTATAAAACTTCACAGGTGCACGAATGTCTGCACTACACAAATGTCTGCATATATCATCGGGTGCTTCTCCCAGAGTGCTATAATACAAGTACACCACAAGGATACGAATCTCTCCACATGGTTAGGTACTCATCCCAGAGTACAGTGACCCCTCCACTGCATGGACACAGGTCTCTGCATATCATCGGGTACTCATCCCAATGTACAGTGACCCCCCATGCATGGACACAGGTCTCTGAACATAACTGGGTACTCATCCCAGAGTACGACAATACTCTACAATAATACAGATGTCACCACGTACAGATGTCACCACGTACAGATGTCACCACATACAGATGTCACCACGTGCAGATGTCACCACATACAGATGTCACCACGTG